TATATATATATATATATATATATAAGGTTTGTTTGAGCCCTTTTTTTTTAATATAAAAAAAGAAAAGTAATAGTGATTTTTTGGAGAAGATGTGATTAAAAAATAAGGAAAACTTTTTGACTGTAAAATTATTTATTAAGAGGATGTATTGTTAAAAATGAGTTTGGAGGAAAATAAATTTTTAAAAAATAGGGCTTGAAGAGGAGCATAGCACTCAATTTATTTCTCATCCAGATTGAAGACAAAACGTCTGTTTCTCATTTGCTATTCTTTGGACATAATACATATTTAAATTCCCATTTGTTGCAGACAATGCATTGTCGTCTTCAGAAAGAAAAGGAAACTCAAGCTGGTGGTGTTTATTTGCTTATGATTGACAGGTTTATATGAATTTTAACAATACGTACATATATAAATGTGCACACCATTGCACCCGTATTTTGGTAGCACATCTTCCAGTCACAACATGGATTTTATGTATCACACTTTTTGATATCATATATTATTCTTGATCTTGAGACTGAGTGGAATCTATCATCTATCTTTAAAAAGACAAACTCGGGTATTGAAGTGTTTTATCTTATGAGGCGAGGCCTAAGCCTCAAGAGAAACCAATAAAATTATTCAAAAGAATGTAGAAGTACACAATCAAGCTTATACTAATCCATATAAATTTTTAATCATTGAAAAAAATAAAATTGATAGTCTAACTTATGAAATAAATATAAAATAAATTTATTAAGTTATGAAATTTTTAATAACACTAAATTGTAATCTACTACTAGAAGTAGAGAGAATCTAGAAATCTTCTATATTATCATCACTAGTAAAATCTTTAAGAGAATTGTCTATTTGATTTTTCTTTCTTATCATCCTCCACTTGCAATGTTGCTTTCTCCTCCCTCTTTTCCTTTTCTTTCTCAATGCGCGTGAAGAGATAAAAGAAACAAAATAAAAGCACCCCTAAAATGTACTGAGGTTATTAAGAAAATAGCTCAAAAACTTGAGGCTAGAAATAAATGGTCCAGAAAAGACAACGCAAGCAAGCACACACCTCAACCACCCTGAGGCGTGACCTTGAGCAGCCTCGCTTGAGGCGGGTTTCAAGGCATGAGCCTCAAAAGGCATTTTTAAACAATGTATATCAGAAACATGCGCACTAAAGAATATTTACAGTTTAGGCTTTTTAAGGTGAATTAGGTCTGAGACAGATCCTATAAGGTATGAGCTTCAAAGATGCAGTTGATAAAAGAGGAAATGTAACTATCTTAAAATCAATCGTGCGAAAAATACATTTGAATATAAAAAGTTTTCGTGTATTTTTCAACAATTAGTGCTTCTATGTAAAATCCTAGATTCTGGGAACAAATATGGCTTTAATGTATTGACCAAATATATGCTGTTACATTGCGAAATAATACTGCTTTCAGTAGTTTTTATAAATTAATGGTGATACTGATAACTATTTGTTATAAGCACCTTCACATACAAACTTGTTGCCAGCAGTATTGGAGCTTTTTACTGGATGGATCGTGCTTTGTTGTCATCATCAGGAAGCAACAACAGGTGATGATTAATGGTGCCTGCTTACTTATGTTTCATTGCCTGGTCAAATTTCTAACTAATGACATTGAAGACATAGTGATGTAATTAATAAGTATTGATTGCAGGAAGAGCCTTTCTCTTCAGTGTGTGGTAGAAACCATGGTTCAGGAGATCCAGAGGCTTCTGTTGGTGCACCCCATGCTTGTGTTAGCTTCCAAGTCAGCTTCCTTTGGTGATAAGCAGTCAACAACTGAAGTGATAAGGTCAGTGGCTTGGATGGCAGTTAATTTTTTATTTAATGTGGATGCATTTTTTTCAAAATATGAAGAACTTCTATTTGATGGAGTGAAAAACCAACAAAAAATGGTTGCTTTATGATAAGGCATATAAGATCTATATCCACAAAATTTTCTTATATGATATGTTATGGCTAGAGAACTATCAGAAAGTGTTTACTTGTACTTCTCTGCCTCTCCTCTCAACTGTAGCCAACCTGAAATTTATTGTGAACAAGATTAGTTTGCTGTTGTATTATGCATACTGGAAACTTGAAAGTCAATCATCAGATTGGTGGGACTTTGATGCAAACCCACGTAGCAATTGAAGCTACAAAACCCACAAAAAAAAATTGATTAAAACTCAAGAAAGCCAAAGAACTAAAATTTTGAGTTTGACCCACAAATATTGAACCAAGCAACTAACAATCACCGACAATATATTGACCTCTTGATCACAAGATTTGAAAATCTCATCTGAAAAGTTTGAACGCCACAAGAATTAAAATCTTGATTAGTTTGGTAAATTACTTCAATGAAGAACAAGATGAAAGCATTTGCCTCTCAATTGAATATATGATCAAAGTTGTTTATGATATAGAATAATGAATCCTATATATAGGAAACGCATAAAACCTAGTTAACAACGGAATAAAAGTCTAAAAGATTACAAAGGTATAAAAAAAATAGAATTCTAACATAATTAGGAAAACTCGCGAAAATTGGAAACATTACTACATTTTTTCTCTATGCGGCCGCATAGACGAACTCAAATGGCCACTGCGATTTTTTGCTTGACCGCATGTGATTGCATGCAATATTACACTATGTGGTCACATAATGTAATTCAGTATCTCCTCCGTCTAATGCTTGAACTACGTTGTTCCAACTTGTTTTGACTCCCAAGCCCAACATGAAACTTTTTGACTTTCTTGCATTGATCAATATTTCGTCCACTGTGTTGACCCGCTTTGCTCGCGACCAACTCATCGGCCCTTTTTCGACAATCAACGGATCCTTGTCCAGACTTGTGTTTGTTTCCTTCGTTCCTTGGATCATATCGGACTTGCTGCTTCCAAATTTTATGATATCGAAGGATTAGATATGTACCCTCCACGTATTCAAAATTAAGTTTCTAAATCCTTTGTCACAGTTTACATGAATATATTTTCGGATCATGACTTTGTATAGTGATCATATACCTTGCGAATATCAGTAAACTTGAATAATTGAAAGGAAAAATGTTTATGCTTGGTAATAAATTTTCAATGCATAAATATTAATCCTGACTTCATCGATCATAATACGATCTATTTCTGCTGTCACATGCTTACCATCTGAATTACTTTGGTTGGATTAAATAATGGGATTTGCAGACAATGTGGCTGATACTGTTTCATCGAGTTGATTAGTATTTGACGTCATTATCTGATTGATATAGCTTCATTGAGTAAATTATTGGTTTTATATTTGAACTCCATAATATTTTTCTTTGTTTTCCTTGCGTTGCATTGAAGGAGCAAGCACACCTATAAATGGTTCGATTTGCTAATTTTTAACACTACATCTAGCATTTTGAGATCCCAAATTTGTGTTATTGTATAGTTGGAGGACCTACACGTTTAACATATCTTGCTTACAGAAATCCAGGTAAAGGGTCCTCAGTAATGGCCATGGATTTTAGAAGTGGTCCTCAGAACCTATTGCATCGTGAATATATGCCTTCAGTCTGGCAGGTACATTTGATTATATTTACTATAATGATTTTTAACGGTAAAGCATACTGCTTCAAACACGAACCTTGAGAATTGTTTTTGTTGTCACAGTCTTTTGTTACGCACAGAATACAAGTGCGGCCTTCAGGTTTGGATGCAAGGACCGTGCCTAGTATGGTTTCAGTGTTGTTTATTTATATTCTTTATTTACATGCATGCTGTTTCTTTTTTCAACAGACTATAGTTGCAAGTATCAGAATAACGCCACCTACTTGACAGAATGGCTGTTACCATCTCTCAAGTTTTCAGACAAATTTATCATTAACGATGTGCGGTTATCTTGTCCAAGTACTCAATTAACGTAAAGAGATTAATGTTCTTTTGACAAATCTGTGTTAACTGAACAGAATAATGGCGCAGGACGGTCTCTTGGTCATCTTGTGAAGTGCGTGCATGATGGAAAATGGATTGTCCGAACAGGATTGTGAATTGAAGAGATTAAGCATAGCCAATCTTTGAAAAATCCTAATTGAATTTGGGGATTGTTGCTTGAAGCATTTATTTCATGTGAATAGATTCATTTTTGGCTGGAACTGTGAGACGATGAATAGTTTATGTGCTGAAATTGAATTTTTGTAATTGTTTGTACTCGATGCATGCCACTTGGCTTGTGCATATTAAAGTCATAGATGTTTTTAGGGCTGAGCAAATTTCTCGAACCGAACCCGAACCGAATTGAATCGAATTTGACGGCTTTTGTCAAATTAAATACCCGAACGGGTATCTAAATTGAAAATCGACGGGTACGGTTCGATTTTCGGTTCTAGACCAAGAATCGAAGAACCGAATAAGAATCAAATCTTTCTAATTTTTTTATTTTTTTATATTGAATAAATCAAATTATTTTAATTTTAATTTTTTCTAAACAAATTAACAATTTAACAATTTATAAATCCAAATTTTTGACCAATTACGCATTTTATTGTTTCATTTCTTAATTTAACAAGATTCAATTCACTAAATAACATTAAACATCTACATTAAAGTGCATAATGTTGTTTCAACTCTCGTGTTCACTCTCGCAGCTTCGTTGACATTTCAAAACCTATACAATCGTCAGCTGACACTGTGACCTCTGATCGAAGTTGTGACCTTCGCCGATCGAAGCTTTGACTGTAACGATCATTTGAACAAGATAGTCTATTATTGTCTGATATTTCAAAACCATTGAATGTGTCATTAGTTTTATTTATATAATATTGTTATAAATGTTAAAAAATTTAATTATAGTATAGAATTGAATGGAATCGAACCGAACCGAATTGAACCGAACGGAACCGAATCCGAACGGTTCCATTTATTAGATACCCGAAAATTTTGGTTCGGTTTCTATTCTCTTTAGATGTTTTCACTTCTATGCAAATATGTTCAACACTGTCATATAAGCCACCAATCTTTCTAGGAATGAAAATTGTTACAGATAGAGCAACCTCAATCGAAGAGTGAAGTTATCTAGTCAAAAAATATTGGTCGTAGTTGGATATTGACTCCTGTAAAGATTACAATTGAATTTTGCACTGATAAATTAAAGATTGACATTAATTTAATTGTTTATAATTACAAGTAAATTTGAAAGTACATTTTTCAATTTAATCCTAAAAGTTGTAAAGAAACTGGATCAAAAAATGAATCAAAATTTAGAGCATGTTTG